GGTGCCGCAGCCGGCCGCCTCTTCTCCACTGCCGCCATCTTCGCCGAGGGCAGTGGAGCCGGAAACACCGGCATATTTCCCGGTGCACTGGCGCCTGGGCGGCCATTTTTGTTAAGGGCAGGACCTGCCTAGCTCCCACTATGAGGATTCTAGGAAAAACAGGAGCACGCTGTTTTCTCCCGGAGGTCCTAGGAGGCACTCTTCTACGTCCCTCTTTCCTCGTGCTCCCTGGCCTGCTTGGCTTCAGTCCGGAATCTGAGTTTTGCCAGGTTTCAAAATGGCTGCCAAGGAAGTGCTCGACTTTGGGTATGAAGCCAAATTGTTTGCCATCTTTGTAGTGGGCGTGTCCTTCATTAGCATGGTCCCCTAGCAACCGGTCTCCTGGTTACCAGCGAAGCCCAACCGAGCGTCTGCTGGTCCTGCCCCCCGCCCCCTTTCATGAATCCCGTGGCGTCTGCATGCTTAGCTGGGCTGCGGTAGGGTCCCACCCGCCTGGGCGCGTTCCCCCGCGATCCACGCAGGCGCTCACACCCCGGACCACACGAGTCAGCCGTCAGACCAGACGCCCTTTATTCTGCAGCACCCCACTGCCGCCAGCCGCCAGGGTGGGGCCCACGGTGGCCCTGGAGCTGTGCCGAGTCTGGCCCCGACTGCTGGAGGGAAGGCAGGCGGTCAGCAGGGCCCAGGCGGATGGGTGGGGCCACGGCCAGGCAGGCGGCAGCGCTTCCACAGGCGATAGGTGACGGCCACCAGGAGCAGCAGCGCCAGCACCAGGCTGCCCGCCCACAGGGCTGGTGGCCCTGCCAGTTCAGGGCTGGACGCTGGGGACAGTGAGAAGGGAGCTCAGGAGCCCGCACCTCTTACGGGACTGGGGCGACCCCACAGTCTCCGGGCGCGTCCACGCGTGCCCAGTGCCCCGAGAACCTATGAAGGACTGGCCGGACTGAAGTCACACAGGTCCTGAGTGTTCGGAGTGGACTGTCCACCCGGCTGGCCACTCGCCCATTGGCCCTGACATGCCATCAGCCCTCCTGCAGCCACACTGTCCCCGGCAGTTGTGGCGTGTGGAAGCCGACCGGTGACAGAGGCCTGGCACACGCCGACTGCTGCCCTACACTGCTGTCTGCTGGCCAGGGTGATTGGGCAGCTCTACCCCTGGCTGCGACTCCACGGAGCTCAGAACTTACATGGCCCTGAGTGGACAGGACAGCTGGTCCCCAAAGCCCACTCAGCCAGCGGGGAGACTGAGGCTGGGCGTTGATCCAAGGAGCCCTCCCTCCAGCCCCTCCAGCCCCTCCTGCCCAGGCACGGCACTCACTGCTCTCCAGGGCCACGCCTCGTTCTGTGGGCCCAGCTGCGTGGGTCCCAGGGTGGCAGGTCCTGCTGCAGCCAGGACTCCTGGGGTCATGTGTGGAACCCCGGTGGGAGGTGGCGTCGGGGGGCTCCTGGGAGGTGGCGTCGGGGGGCTCCTGGGAGGTGGCACTGGGGGGCTCCGAGGAGACCTGGCGGTGCAGGACTGGAAGCAGACCACTTGCTTTTGTCCCCACTGCTCTGGGCCCACCTCCTCTGCCCCAGCGCCCGTGTGGACCAGGAGGTGGGCCCGGACCTCTCCAAGCGCCTCCCTCAATCACGTGTGTGAACTGCAGGGCATGTCAGTGGCCCTCCCGGCCCCCACTCACTGGTCTTGTCTTCTTGAGCAGCTTTTTAAAAAAATTGCTATGGTGTGCGTGCGCTTGTCAGAGGAAAAAAAGAAAGTACGAAGGGCCCCCGGGGCGATGGCCACCGTCCTCCAGACCCCGGGGCGATGGCCACCGTCCCGTCCTCCAGGCCCCGGGGCGATGGCCATGCCACCGTCCTCCAGGCCCCGGGGGCCCCTGCCCCCCAGGCCCCGGGCCGAGGCCCATGCCACCGTCCTCCAGGCCCCGGGGCGATGGCCATGCCACCATCCTCCAGACCCCGGGGCAATGGCCACAGTCCTCCAGACCCTGGGGCAATGGCCACAGTCCTCCAGACCCCGGGGCGATGGCCATGCCACAGTCCTCCAGACCCTGGGCGCGCACACACCGGCCCCAGTGTGTCTGTGAGCCACCGGGGCCAGGACCCAGTCGCCCCGGCCACCACGCCACCGGCTGGCCCCCACAGCTTCTTGGTTCGCTTGTGCCTCAGTTTCCTCAACTATGAACAGGGAGAGCCCCTGCCCCGGGCGGTGCTCACAACACAGGGTCCGCAGGGGTGGGGAGGGAGGGGTGCTGCGGCCGGCTCTGCCCTGTGAGGGTGTCACCCCAAACCCTGAGGCCCTGCCCCACCTACTGTGTCCAGACCTCCCTGGAGTGCATGGCGGGAACCCGGGCCCCCTGGCGCCCCCACTGGAAGAGAGAGCATATGCGGGGCCATCCCTGGTGGACACGCTTCGGTCACGGGAACAATGGCTGATGTGAGCAGGCCCTGCTGGGCGCGGCCCGTCTGAATGCCGTCGGGAGTGGGGTGCTGAGACAGCGGCTCTACCACGGGGAGCGTGTACCCCCTGTGGTGAGGAGCAGTACCGGGGAAGCCCATGCCAGAGGTCGTGGATGGTGTCAAGAAACAGGAGGAGGGAGAGGGAGCCCCTGACCAGGCCCGGGGGCCCCCGGCAAGGCCATCCTCAGCACAGGCTTGAGGGAGGCACGGAGGGGCCCTGGGGAGATCGGGGAGATGGGGAGGGCATCCCGGGGGCGCCGCTGCGCACAGGCCCTGGACAGGATGGAGCCTGGCGTTGGCAGACAGGCGAGGCCTGGCGGGACAGGAGAGAGCGAGGGGGGGCAGGTGTGGACAGGCCTGGTGGCTCTGGGAGGACCTGGGCTTTTTACCTTCAGGGTGGGAGCCGCAGAGGCTGAGGAAGGGGGGAGATGGGCGTGGGGCCTGGCACGGGACAGGTGTTGGGTGGGTGTCTGGGGCAGCCTGAGGTTGGATCCAGTCTGGGGGAAGGTTCCAGATCCCCAGGGCTGGGCAGGGCGTGCAGCCCTCTGCCCCGCAGAACACTGCCGTCTAGGTTGGTGAGCGAGGGCACAGCCCCCCGGGGCCTGCGAGGCCGGCGGGCTGCCGTGGGCTCACCTGGGATGGCCCGGCGGTGGCTGAGCAGCAGGCCGGGCAGCCTCATGGTAACCTGACAGTGAAGGGCAGGAGGGAGGTGGGTCCCCAGAGGCGGGAGCAGCCAGCGCTGGGTCACATGGAACAGCGTGTCGTCGCCCTCCTGGGGCTCTTCCCTAACTTCGGGGGCCAGAGCCTGGGCCCCTTCCAGTTCCAGGTCCCCCAGGAGCAGGGAGAAGGAGAGGGTGTCCTGGCTTGTAGGAGTGACATTGTGGGCGGTGCAGGTCACCTCCTGCTCCTGCTCAGGCACCAGGACCACGGGGGAAACCGTCAGCTGGTCCGGGAAGGCTGTGGATGGAGAGTCAGGCTGTGCCGAGCCAGAGGTCAGGGCTGCACCAGCTGGAGGGGACCAGAGCCTGGGGAGGGGGCTGTGGCCTCAGCACCAGCTGCAGGGAGGGGCTGGGAATGGTGGAGACTAGGGCCTGGGGAGGGGGAGGAGCTGCACCACCCAGACTTGGAGCTTGGCTGGGTGGGCAATCTGGAAGGCTCCCCGGAAGAGGTGCCGTGGCTCACCGTACACCAGGAGTTGCACCGTCTGCTGGAAGGTGAGGTCCCCGCAGGAGCCCACGCACACGCGTGTCCCAGTTGCAGACAGCGAGGCGTTGGGCACCACCATCACACTGCTGTCCACGCCTGGCAGCACCGTGCCCAGGCTGGTGTCCAGGCCCCGCCACTGCACCGAGGCGGCCCGGGGGCCCGCACACGGCC